GGAAAGGCCCCATTCCCCATCCCCCTGAGCCAGCCAGTCCCTGCCCTAGGGCCAGGTGAGAGCCAGCGCCCAAGAGGGGAAAGGCCCTGTGCCCCATTCCTCACCCCCCTGAGCCAGCCAGTCCCTGCCCTAGGGCCAGGTGGGAGCCGGCGCTTGAGAGGGGAAAGGCCCCGTGCCCCATTCCCCACCCCCCAAGCCAGCCAGTCCCTGCCCTAGGGCCAGATGGGAGCTGGCGCCCCCTACAAGGGAAAGGCCCCATGCCCCATTCCCTACCCACCCCCGAGCCAGCCCATCACCCGCTCACCGAACATGCTGTGGACAAAGGGCGTCAGGTCGATCTCCTGCAGGGGCTGGCCAGTGGCTGCATGGAAGAGGCGCAGGGTGGGGTCCAGCCGCACGGAGACCCAGACTCCGTCGCCCGCCAACGCCATGTGCCTCACCTGGCTCTCGGGGCGCCCGGTCACCTCAAAGTACCGCTGGCGGGGGGGGGAAGCAGAGCAAAGGGCTGGGGGCAGGGCTGGCAGATCCCTCACTCCCCTGAATCAGTCCCACGAGGGCGCTCCAAATCCATCCCCAGCCTAGTCAATCCAATTGATCTCCCAAGATCCCATTGGAACCCCCATGGCACGAGTGGACCTATGAGATCAGCTGAGATGACCCCCCAACCTCATCCAAGGGGATCCTATAAGATCCACCAAACCTCACCCGAGTTTGTCCCAGAGGATCCCCTGGCTCCCTGAACGCCACCTGAGTGGATCTCACAAGGTCTACTGATACCACTTGGGTTGAGTCCATGTGATCCCGTGGATACTCTAATCTCACCTGAGTGAATCCCAGGAGGTCAGCGTATAGATCTACAAATATCACAAGAGTCAATCCCACATGATCCTGCCAGAGTACTCCACCCCACCTGTGTGGATGCCATGAGATCTACCAGTGTCGCCTGAATTGATCCCACAGGACCCATGGTTCCCCAACCCCATGAGTAGATCCCATGAGACCTACTTCCATCACGTGTCAATTCCCCCAAGAGCCCATAGACCCCCCCCAAACACAATATGAGTGGCTCCCATGATATCCCCCAAGTCGATCCCAGCCCCTCCCAAATGGGTCCCATGAGCTCTCCATAAAGATCTACTGTCATCACAGGAGTTGATCCTGCCGGTGTGCCCCACCCCCACCCGAGTGGATCCCAGGAGATCCCCAGGATCTTCCACCATTTCTAAGTGGGTCCCATGAGATCACCTCTGGATTCCACATTCCCCATGATCCCTCATTCCCTTTTGAGTGGATCCCCTGACCCCTTGCTCCCCGACTTGACTCCACCCATCCCCTGCACCTTGACTGCCCCCCCAGCCCTCTACTGCCCCACCTTCCCCCCGGTCCCCTCCCCCACTGGATCCCCCTGTACCTTCACTGATCCCTGGGCTCCCCCACTGCCTCACCTGGACCCTGGCGCTGCGCGGCTCCACCACGTAGACCCGGTTGCGGTAGCCGACCCAGACCTGGCTCCCCACGGCCAGGGCGCAGCGGATGGACTGGCGGGGGCGCCCCAGGTCCAGCAGCCGGGGGCGCTGCAGGTCCCAGCGGCCGGCTGCGGGGCGAAGGGGGAGGAGTGAGTGGGGCAGGGGGCTGCGGGGAGCTGGGGGTGGGGGGGTCTGGTATTTACCGGCGTCCCGGTGGAAGACAGCAACAGTCCCATTCCCCAGCGCAGTCACCGCACGGCCCTGGGCGTGGCTACGAGAGAGAGAGAGAGACAATTGGAGCGGGCGGCCAGGCCATTTAGCATGCCCTGGGGAGGCCCAAAGTTTGGTCAAAGCCCCTAACCCAAGGGCACAGTGCCTGTGATCGCCCGACAGCCTGGCTCACAGCGGTCGTGAGTGGTCACGGATCATCACTGGCCTGACATGGGGCCGGTCGCCCCGGCCCAACGGGAACCTGGGTCGCATGTGAACCCGTCGCCAGACGCCTGCTGGGCCGTGGCGGCAGCTCCCGCGCGCTGGGCCCCGACAGACTTGAAGACTGGCCCCAGGGGCATGGAGACAAACGTGGCGGGCGATCGCGGCCGCACCCGGCTCTTAAGCCGCCGGCAGGATTCCGGAGGCCAAGTCCGGCTAACGCGGCTGGGGAACTAACGAGCGTCCGCTTTGGGGCCATTTCCCGGGCGAGTTTGATGTCCGACGCTGACAAGTCAGGTCGCGACCAGTGATCAAGCTGGACATTTCTCAACCACGACGGAGGGAAATCATCATCCGAGAGCCGGGCTGGGGGAGGTACTCGCTTGTGTCGGACCCACGTCTCTTGATGACCAAGGCTCAGGGATCGTCCTGGAGTCTCTAGGAATTTCACACCAATCTTGAATTCAAGACTGTGTCCTGGGATGAAACCTCGAGGAATACGGCCAACCCAACTAGGCAACCATACTTGGGAAAGCTCCGGAGCGGCTCTCTCTCCCAATGGCAGCTGGCCCAAGACAGGATGTCACTGTCTACCCGGCCACCGACCCAGCCAGGACACTGCCAATGCAAGAATGATTGGCTGACGCCCCCGTTGTCCCCCCCAGGGCCCGGCCCCACACTCACACCACGCTGTGCACGGCATCCTTCAGCTGCACCGTCCGCAGGCACCGGCGCCAGTCAGAACCGGCCGAGTAGATGGAAATGCTGGGGGAAGAGCACGACAGCTTGGGACAGCGCTGAGATGCGGCCCCTCTGGGGTGGGGAACGGGGGCTGGTTCTACAGGGACTCGGTGCTGAGATGCGACCACCTCGGGGGAGGTACACGGGGCTGGTTCTACAGGGACTCGGCGCTGAGATGCGGCCCCTCTGGGGTGGGGTGTGGGGGCTGGTTATACAGGGATCCGGTGCTGGGATGTGGCCCCTCTGGGGTGGGGTGCGGGGGCTGGTTATACATGGGCCCGGCGCTGGGATGCAGCCCCTCTGGGGTGGAGTGCAGGGGCTGGTTATACAGGGGTGTCTCGGTACCTGCCCTCCTGGGTGCCCAGCCAGACAGTGTCCATGGTACCAATGGCATCACTGTCCGCGTCCGGGGTCCCCGCCTCCTCCTCTGGTTCTGGGGGGTCGGGGGCCAAGGGGTCTTCCAGGATCTCGGGTTCCAGCTTTGTGCTCTCAGCACTGGGTGGCCGGTGACCTGGCAGGGACAGCCCGGTCCGTGAGATGGAGGCTAGGGCCGTATATAGCCTGTATGGCCCACACAGCCTCTGGGGTGCCGCAGAGCATCCTTCTCCCAGGCCATATAGCCCCCTCCAGCCATCCCAGTCCATACAGCTCCCATCCTGGTCCATACACCACCCTCCATTTGCCCCAGTCCATATAGTCCTTGCCCCAGTCCATACAGTCCCCTCCATCCACCCCAGTCCATACAGCTCCTTCCATCTGCCCCGGTCCATACAGCCCCCTCCACCCATTGTGGTCCATACAGCTGCCCCCCACCCCTCCCCAGCCCTGTGCCCCACACTCACCGGGCAGCCAGGCGACACACAGCACATGGGCGTTGGGCAGCACAAACTGGGCCAGGACGAGGTTGGCGCGGGCAGCGTCCATCACCGTGACCTCGCTGGCCGAGTGTGTCCCAGAGCAGACCCACAGCAGGCTGGGGGGGGCAGGCCAGGGCGCCGCCTGGGGGAGACACGCAGACGCTCACACCCCGCAAGGCTGGCTGAGGAACCCAAAAGCCGGGCACCCATTGGGAGGGGGACACCACCCCTCCCCCGACAGCCCCCTCACCCCGGGGGAGGGGTTTAGCACTGATTGACAGGGGCTCCCCAAGGCCCGATCAACCCCACTGAGGGTCCCCTGGGGATAAAGAGGGGAGGTGCCCCAAAGTACGGCATTAGCTCGAGGGGCAAGGTCTCCCCAAAAGTTTGGGGGCTGCCTAGATTGAGAAAAAGTGCCAGGGTGCCCCCCAAAATAGGCCCCCCATCCCTGCTCCACCCTCAGAGAATGGTGGGGGTTCGGGGAGTCCCCTCTACTTTTGGGGGGACCATCCCAAAGCGGAGGGGCAGGGAGAGTCACCAAATAGGGTTGCCGTGGAGGGGGCAAGTGCCCCACATGCCACCCCCAACCAGGGAGACGTGGGGTCTCTCCCACATGGGGGGCAGGGAAGGGGTCCCCAGATCCATCCCCAGCATTAGGGAGCGAAGGAAGGGGCCGCTGCAGAGATGGGAGGGGTCACGCCCCCGACACTAACCAAGTCGCTGCCGTCTGTCCTAGGCACCCCCATCCCGACAGCACACCACAACTGGGAGGGAGGGAGAGAGGGGGGATGAGACGCCAGGCCCAGCCCCCTGCTGGCCCCCCCAAATGCTGAGACACGGCTCCTCTGGGGTGGGGTGCAGGGGCTGGTTATAAAGGGACCCCTCGCCCAGCGCTGAGATGCAGCCACCTCTGGGGTGGAGTGTGGGGGATGGTTATTCTGGTGTTTCAATACCCGTAGAAGCCCCTAGTACCGGCTTGGGGCAACAGGACCAGCCCTGACCACCAGGGGAGAGCGCCCTCCGCCGAGCCCCCCACCCCCCCCCCCGCTGCCCCCTGCCCCCCCCCCCCCCCCCCCCCCCCCCCACCGCCCCCCGCCACCCCCCCGGCCCCGCTCCCTGCAGCCCAGTGGCCCCCACCGAGCCCCCTGCCCCTTGCAGCCCAGTGCCCCCCTCAGAGCCCCCGCCCCCTGCAGCCCAGCGGCCCGCGCCGAGCCCCCACCCCGCTCCCTGAAGACTACTGCCCCCCACCGAGCTCCCATTCCACCCCCTGCAGCCCAGCGCCCCCTGCCGAGCCCCCCCTGCCCCGC